AATTGCAGAATATGTCTAGAAAGTCATCGTAGGCTGAGCTAGATCTAGAATTGCAGAATATGTCTAGAAAGTCTTCGTAGGCTGAGCTACAGTTAAGAGAGCGACACGGACCAGTTCGACCGTTGAAATCCGGAAACACACAAGATAAGTGTCGGCCAGGACCACACACAATTTTTGAGTCAAAGTTCATACTATACTTTGTTTTTAAACTAAGAGGAGCGATTTGAATTTAAGTTGGCAATTCTGTAGCCTTCTGATTGGTCAGATTACAGTCAGTTTCACACATTACTTTTTAGCATGATTATCGGCTAATAATTGATATTGTTGGCAGTTCTGACATTTTATAATTTGATATCTCATCCATTACTTAGTTTTTTACTTTATTTCGTAAATAATAGTTCTTCAGTAAGCAATTGTATTGAAAATCTACAATTATGGATCCTTCTACACTGAGTACTATTAAAGGTAGCAATTCCTGAAAGGCCTTACAAGAAAGGGAAGACACCTTATTATTTTACATGCTGATTCTGATTTTGTAGAAAATACATTATTGGTTTTTGAAGGTAAAAAGATGGGAGATTACCACGAAGAGATGAATTCCGAAGTATTTTAGAAAAAAATAATTTTATTACTGATTTTTTAAAACTAAAAATTGATGAATTTCTAACCAAAATGATTAAAATGTAACTAAATATTCAAGCAAATTTTATTTATTAGAATAGAATAAAACTATTTACAAAATTGTTATTTAAAACACCATCTACTACTTTAGGGATAATCTTAATTTGGCACAATGAGTTAACATTAATTTCACAAAAAATACTTAAAATTAATACATAGGTATGTATGAATAGTTCACTTTAAAAAATATATGTTGACATGTAGTGTTATGAAAATGTTGGTTCCAGTTTTCAAAACAAATTCTGACTCATAGGCCTGTAAACTTTTGAATGCCTTTATTTGCCCTCTAGCGCATTAACCATGGGTTAACACTAAATAAGCCATAATATCCACATTACTCATAGAAGAGATACCAGTTACTGTGTGATCCACTTGTCATTCACTGATTAACTTTTACTTTTTATACCTATAACAAATATATCCTTAAAAATGTAAACAGATCTTTATATTTTATACTAACCTGGCTACATCTGGATATTCCATTAACAATTTTCTTAAATATTTAATATCCATTTTAAAAAGATCATAGTTATTCTCAAAAAATCGATTTCAAAAGCAAGAAAAAAGTATTTCTGACATCAATCAACAACCATATTGACTTTAATTTGACAGTGACATTTCGTTTTAGACACACATTTCAGATCACAATAATGTGAAATTTGCGACCGTTGTCTGGGACAAATTAAAAAATTACTTCTATGACATTTATTCGTTTCTTAACCGCTCATTGGCCGTTCACCGACTAAGGCCGATAAAGATAATTATTTCATAAATTTTGAACACGACTATATTTCGAAACTCGCTCTTAGTAACAAATCTAGTTACTTTTCCCTGTGTAAATGCGTCTTTTCAATTTGCTCCTCCTAGTTTAAAAACAGAGTATAGTCAATTTTAATTTAAAAAAAATAATAACTCATTATCAGTCAAATAACGTTAACCGTAAAATTTGTTAAAATCAATAAATTTCATTTTTCTTTCTTATTGTTAACTATCATTCATTAATTAATTTATTTTAAATTAAAGCCGATTAATTGTTTTAAAATTTAAGTTCTTTTATTTTCCTTACTTTTAACTGACAAGTTAATGGCAAATTTACTTTTATTGTAGATCTAAAGGTATGGCGCCCAAATAAATTTAATTGAATTTTTTTAAGTCTTTTTAATTAAAGACATTGCCATTGATTTGAAGGTAAATTCTAAACGAATCCCACTGACCCATTTTGATCTGAGCTAGGCCTGAGGCTTGTAAGAATTCTTATTATAAGGATTTTTACAATGAGGCCCAGGTAAGGGTTAAAAAGTTAACGTATCATCTGGTGCAAAATATGTTTTTAGAACATAACATTGAAACGTAACATTTATGGTAGGCCGTTTCTATATTTTATGGAATATATTTGTTATTTATGTTTGAAGAAGAAAATTATTCAAATAAAAGTTACTTCTTATATTATTATTTATAATTTTTGTCTTATGTCAAAATTTCCTGAAGTAGTCCGTATTCGAGAAATTTGACAAAATGTGCAAAATTCTGATTTTTATGAAAATTGTAAAACTAAAAGTTGTTTGCGATATCGATCTCTATAATTTTTGTTTATACATGATTTTTCTAAAACGAACCGTAATGGAAAAATTGTAGGAAAAGTGCTAAATTTAAATTTTTTAGTATTTTCGTTTTCAATGGATACAGAAAAATGTTTCGAGGAAACATTTATAGAGGTGCTGCAATATGTTGTACAAAATAACCGGAAAAAGCCTATAATAACAAGATAGGAAAGTCATGTGTTGGACACATCAGATTTTTTAATGTGATTGAAGCAGAAGTGTTGTTATGTACATGTCAAGTTCTTCTTTTTTCTTAATTGTGATTTAAACAGAAGTGTTGTTCGTTACATGTCAAATTCTTCTTTTTTAGTTTTGTTATATATGATTGATACAGAAGTGTTGTTCGCACATACTTTGATTTTCATTTACTATACGGAGAATGGTCGCACTGCGCAGCTTTCTGAGTGCCTTTTAAAAGGAGATAGAAAACTCCGCCATTTTGAACCCTTATTACGTGTTGCCTACATCTTGGCGCAATATTTTTAATAGGTGCGTTTTAATCATCCGCTTCTGCTTCGGAATTGTCGGTTTTCTTGTTTTAATCTGACAGGTTAAAACGACTAAACCGACAATTCCGGAAGCAGAAGCGGATGATTAAAACGCACCTGATATTTTGCTTGCTGCTGTCAGTGTCAGTGAATAATTTTTGAAGTCACAGTTTATTGCTAAAGAATCAGTTAGCTCACTCGGGCCAGTTGAAAGTTCCAAAATAACATCCACTCCAGGGATACAAATTTAGGATACGCAGAAGACTGCTGTTTTATTATAGGCGGTTGTCATATATTGTATTATCCGAGTTGCACAGTGTATAAACTGAAACATTGAGATCAAAAGTGCCGACGCAGAGTGAGCGATCTGATTCTTTAGTTGTAAACTGTGTCACAGGGTTCAAAATGGCCGCGCCCTATGTTGGGCGTGTCGGACCTCTCTCTTGCCTCGTATAGTAATCAAAGTATGTGGTTGTTCGTTACATGACAAATTCTTCTTTTTTATTTTTATTATATAGATTGATACAGACTCCGAGCAATGCTCGGAGGATACAGAAGTGTTGTTCGTTACAAGTCAAATTCTTCTTTTTTATTTTTATTAGACATGATCACATACTTTGATTTTGTCTTACTATACGGAGAATGGTCGCATTGCGCAGTTTTCTGCCTTTTAAAAGGAGATAGAAAACTCCGGTATTTTGATGCCTTATTACGTGTTGCCTACATCTTGGCGCAATATTTTTAATAGGTGCCTTTTAATCATCCACTTCTGCTTCGGAATTGTCGGTTTTCTTGTTTTAATCTGACAGGTTAAAACGAGTAAACCGACAATTCCGGAAGCAGAAGCGGATGATTAAAAAGCACCTGATATTTTGCTTGCTGCTGTCAGTGTAAGTGAATATTATTTTTGGGGTCAGTTAATTGCTGAAGAATCAGTTGGACCAGTTGAAAGTTCCCAAAAAGTTCCAAAATAACATCCACTCCAGGGATACAAATTCAGGATGCGCAGAAGACTGCTGTTTTATTATAGGCGGTTGTCATATATTGTTTTATCGTGTGTAAAGTGAGCGAACTGATTCTTTAGCTATAAACTGTGGTAAAGGCATCAAAATGGCCGCGCCCTATGTTGGGCGTGTCGGACCTCTCTCTTGCACCGTATAGTAATCAAGGCTTTGAATATTTATAGTCTTCAAAGAATCAAGGTATGTGGATATGATTGATACAGAAGTGTTTTGTTGTATATGTCAAATTCTTCTTTTTTTAATTATATATGATTTGTACAGAAGTGTTGTTCTGTACATGTCACTATACTTTTTCTGTGTTTGTAATAAATATTTCCTTTTTAGTTTTACTATTTATTGTATTATTTAAATCCATTTTCATGCACTGTTAACACATTCATATTCTCATCTTTCTTTTCCTTCTCCTCCTTTGACTACTCTCTCAACCTTCGTGTTTTGACACCAGGATTTTTCTAATTTTCACTTGTATATACTAAAACTGTAAGTGCTCGATTTGAGATCAAACTTGAAACAGGAGCGGCACTTTACATACTACTCTAATCAGTAAAAGTTATATAGGGAATGTATACAATGAGTATAACATTATTGAAAAGGTAATTTTAAAGTGTATTTAGAGGTATGATCAAAAAAAAAAAATGTTACCTATACCAGAGTATGATACCTCACGTGAAAGCTAATTTTAATAATAACTTTACGCACTGAATAGCATTTATCCTAAATCCAAAGAAGAAGGTGATGCTTGAGTTGTCCAAATTTTCTTCGCTGCTGATAAATTGGTGTATTGTGGCTGTTCTAGTGTTGAAAATGGTATGATGGGATATATATTTCGTGAATTATAAATAAAAAATACCGATCAAGATTATATGTTCTTAATTATTTTAATGTATTTTTAATTCAGGCATAATTGACTTTTTTTTGAGAGATTTTTGAAAAAAATGTTTATCAAATATTTTTCCCCCATTTATTGTGTTTCTAATCAATGTCTTTTCCTTTATTACATTTATTGCTTTCTCCCACGCTGCTTTAGATATAGCACTGTTTATTTAAATCCAACTGAAAATAGGCTAATGAGGAGTCCTATCCAGATAATATAAATAATTTATAATTAAGTACTATTCTACAATACTTTTATTTTAAATTAAAAAATATTGTTTATTTTGTATTAAAATATATTTACAATAATAACAAAAATATACAATACTTATCTACTTAAATTAACAGAAATTAATAAAAAATATAAATTATAGAGAAATATAACAAAAAAATATAACCAAGACAATAGTGTAAAAAAATCTGTGAATTTTCCGGGTTGTTATCTAACTTTGAAATGAATTCAAATACCAACAACCGTTAAGCAGTGTGAGTTCCGGCTCGGGTGAACTTCATGAACTAAATAAATGGGAACTAGTAGGACAACCATTTGGGTACAGTAAGTACATGGAGCTTCAGGGCCAGGGCAGAGGAATGCTTAGAAGGGTGAAAATGGCAGTAACTATTATCAAAGAGAGTTTAATGTTCATAAAATATAATCGTAATGTACAAACTGTAGAAGAATAAAATGATTATTTACTGACGTTAATAAAGCATTCGAAAATATTCTGAGTGGGTAATAGCAATTGTTCACGAGTTGAATATTATACTAAATCTAGAGCTATTAATCTAATAAAGAGCTTTGTAAATTATTTTGTACTGCGGCAAATTGCCAATTGGCAATGCACAGTTGTGACAGTAACAGTTTAAATATATTTCAAAAAAAGATTGAACATTATACTGATGTTTCATTTCAAGTGAATTTGATACGATTGAGTTTGACATTTTAAGATTAAAGCTAAATTAGGTAAGTTGTGATATATACATTTTTGACAAAAAAAGAAAATCCTAAAAACATTTTAAACGAGTGTAGAAATTATGCATGATTCAACCTTCCACTCTTAGACACGTAAATTACAAGGAGAGGTTATCCTAAAGCACTGTAAACAAATTCCAGGCTTGGCTTTGTTCAGCGATTATGTTCATGTTCAGCTGTTTTTTGTATGTGTTGTGGCTGTTGTAAGCTTTTTTGGCGTCAATTCTTTGTTATATTGCTTATATTTGTGATTTTTTTGCTTTGATTTCGATTTAGTATTAAATTATACTTGTTAATTATTTTTCGATGCACTATTTTATAATTGTTGCAAAAAATGTTAAACCATCCTGAATCTTGTTTAGAAAATGTGCAAAATGAAATTGTGTATAGTGTCTATACTTTTTCATTGACAGTTATCATTCTACTCTTGACAGTTATCATTCTACTCTTCTCCACTTCATTGGTAATGACTAGAATTGGTTTATCTACAAAAATAAAACATTAAATTGTATATGTATATGCAAGAAAAAATATTGTTTATTAAAGCTGGCATCCGTGGACGTAAGTGACATTATGGAAAATGGCCGCAGCTGCTGAATTCAAAAAGCTGCATGGGGATTGAGTGGTATATCTGGGCATTCCATTTGGAGGGCAACATGGAGGAGAGTCTCCGCTACTTTTTCGTATACCGGCACTGTTGAGGAGTTCTTTTTCTACTGAAGCTTGATGACGAAGCTGTTCCAGGCGAAGTTGGTTTTGACGTTTCCATTTAGTTCTGTAATACATAAAAAAAATTGAAAAGAGTAAGTAGCTCTTTATACAATAATACTTTCCATATTCTGTATAATGATTATTTAGGTTATATTTAATTTTACCTTCTGTTTTGGTACCACGTCTTCACCTGCGTCTCGCTCAAATTCAGCGCATCCGCCACGTCACTCCTGTCAGCCACCGACAAGTACTTTTGACATCTAAATTTTCGCTCTAAATACGCCAATTGCGCGTGCGTGAACGCCGTTCGCCTCCTGCGTGGTTTCCTGCTCTTAGCTCCTTCCGGCTGGCTTTCGCTACCGCCTCCAGAGTAGAAAGTTTTAGAGGGCGAACCGTCACCGACGCAGTGGTTGCTCGACGAGGGCGGCAAAAGAGGAGTAGATTCAATGTAGATATCAGGATCGGCGTCTGTTTCTTCTTCACCTCTGCTGAGGCCGATGGAATCCGAGTCCGACTGGGCGTACCCTTAAAATAAATTGTATAATGTTTAGTATAACTTTGATTTAGAAATGAACTGCCTAAAAATGTGAATAATAATTTGCTACGACATCTTACTATCACTACAGGTACTGATCAGAAAAAACGTTAGCATCATAGACGTGTTTCGTATGCTTGAATATCATTAGAAATATCCAATGAATATCATTACGATACAGATAATGAATATTATATCTAAAATATTTAAAAATGAAATGACGGTCATCAAACTATTTAAAATAACTTCAAAACTAGACATATTGTCAAGTTAATATTTTGACTCGATTTATTCTATGCTTAAGCCTAATTAATGACGGTACCTCAGTTTGTCGCAACTAGTCAAAGAGTAAAAAAATTATTAAAATATTCAATATCCAATAACTCCACATACTTTGATTTACTTTTACTATACGGAGAATGGTCGCACTGCGCAGCTTTCTGAGTGCCTTTGAAAAGGAGATAGAAAACTCCGCCATTTTGAACCCTTATTACGTGTTGCCTACATCTTGGCGCAATATTTTTAATAGGTACGTTTTAATCATCCGCTTCTGCTTCGGAATTGTCGGTTTTCTTGTTTTAATCTGACAGGTTAAAACAACCAAACCGACAATTCCGGAAGCAGAAGCGAATGATTAAAACGCACCTGATATTTTGCTTGCTGCTGTCAGTGTCAGTGAATATTATTTTTGAAGTCACAGTTTATTGCTAAAGAATCAGTTAGCTCACTCGGACCAGTTGAAAGTTCCAAAATAACATCCACTCCAGGGATACAAATTCAGGATACGCAGAAGACTGCTGTTTTATTATAGGCGGTTGTCATATATTGTATTATCCGAGTTGCACAGTGTATAAACTGAAACATTGAGATCCAAAGTGCCGACGCAGAGTGAGCGATCTGATTCTTTAGCTGTAAACTATGTCACAGGGTTCAAAATGGCCGCGCCCTATGTTGGGCGTGTCGGACCTCTCTCTTGCCTCGTATAGTAATCAAAGTATGTGAATAACTCTGTAATTAGACATACTAAGGTTCTGTCAATTTGTCGGAAGCCATCAAAGACTGAGATACAGAGTCATCATATACTTAAAAGATAAATTTGGAAACAATGTTCTAGTTAAGCGACCCTAGACAAGATTTCCGGAATTAAAAAGTTTATGTTCACAGAAATATAAACCAGTTCCTATGAAAATTTTCTTAAGAAGTAATTGAAAATTTTAAACTAAAGAATATGAAAGATTTAAAAATCACTTTAGTGGGTGAAAATACATTTTTACATAAAACTAAACATTTTTTTATATTTTTGTATAAGATAAAAAATTCAGATTTATATCTGTAACATACAAAGAAGTGCATATTTGAAACTAAGCAACAATTGAAGCTTAGTTTTTATCTTTTTTTTTATCATAACAGGTCATAAAATCATGTCTATAAAGCTAGGCATGGCAAAGTCATAGGCTCGCAGAGCGACTTATGATATATATTTTTTGGATAATTTTTAAGATTTTTTTTGTTCTGTTCACAGTGTTTCGAACAGAGCAAACTAGTTTGACAAAAGAAATTAATGAACAACATTCTGATAGTTCGGAATGCACGTAATTTGTTGACTCGTATTTAACTAATAAGGTGAATAATCAGAATCATATATAAAAAAAGTATTATACTTTTCTTGCAATACCACAAAACGATGATTTTAACTAATGCACCTAATATAATTATATAAGTGATGAATTTGGGAAATAAAGGTGAGTACTTTTTATTTTTTATAAGAACTAGTACCTATCATTGCATATTAATTTAGAAAAAATCCGAAATCAAACTTTCAAATTTTTTTGTGATCATTTGCATTTATTAATTATGAGTGTCTAAAATTTCTATGCCCCATCTGCCCCTGGTGTAAAATTTATATATAGCCTAGCTCTACAGTTTCTAAATATAACAGTTCCTGTTAGCACACCTTTGTACAACAATTTAAAAAAAAGTAGATTACTCCTACTCTGTTTCAAAAATGGAGTTCTTTAAAGAATTGTTGAAAAACGATAAAAGTGAACAGAATAGCACGTTCTGTTAGTTTTTATCCTGACTATGACATTGCTGGGATTACCTAGTCATCGATGAGGGAAACAAAAAAAAATATTCTACAGATTTTCTTTCAAGTCACTGAAAAACTAGACAAAATTCGAAAAAGCAAGGAGCGCTTTCTTAAAAATAATAGTCAATGGATCGAGGAAAATTTAGTTTTTCAGATTTCCCTTCATCAAGTTCAGCTTTCCACACCTGGGAGCTCAACACGTCTACACATGAACACATAGGCGGCCTTGCATGGATTTCGATGAATTAAGTGACAAAACAAAAATGCTAAGAGCTAAAGATCTGATTACTTCACGGAGTACTTCAGAATTATTGACTAATATGGAAGCTTCGGTGCAATTATCTGGCCACGTCCCAGGGACCTTGAGAGAGTTGTTAAGGAAGCCAGTAATAGTCCCGATAAGTGCAAGAGTTAATTTTAGCATTAATAAATCTGAGCAGAAGTGTTTAACTAAGAATTGGCTTATTATGTGGACTCGAAATTTTATAATTTAAGTTTCTAGTTAGTGAAAGTTCCTATTATTGTAATTAGGCAAACGTATTTTTTTTAAATATGTACATAAAGTTAATTATTAGCTTTAAATATTTTTGGATTAGTGTGTATATTTTATATTTATTTTTTACTATCATGCTGGCGTAATAAATATTAGTTTATATGCTAAAAGCATTTTGTGTTTTAAAAAAGTCCACTATGTTTTACAGTGTGTCCAATTAAGTCCCATATGGGAAACTTTTGTATTGTAAAATTTTTGGGCCGTATAAGAGGAGCGTAAAACAATATAAATTTTGCTCAGGAGTAAAGTATTTTTATTTTTGACAAACCTCGTATACGACTGATAAAATTTGATATAAGATGATTGTATTTTAGATTTTAGACCATTCACAACTTTTTATAAAGAATATTTTTTTCCTAAATTATTAATAAAAAAGATTTTTATATGCCGCCAACTGTCTACGTTACTGTCTAGGTTTATCAAAAATAAAGGCACGCTCTTGAGCGAAATTTATATTTTTTAACGCATCTCGTATACAGCTTAAAAAATTTAATATCGGGTTGTTACATTTTAGGTTTTAGACCATGCACAACTTTTAATTAAGAATAACTGTTTTCGTAGAATTAATAATAAAGGTTTACATATGGTGCCAACTTAATTAGATACACTGTATAACCAGCTTAATTAGATTTATATTGTACAAAATGTTCATAACATGAGCAGATACAATCCTTACAGTCAGAAAATTAAACTAAATAATATTGTCCATCTGGCTTGTATTGTTCGAAAAACTGTGCGTTGCCGAGAAATATTGGCCATGCTTGATACTTCATCTAGAATGGCCAGTGCTGCAATTCTGTCTCGAGCTATATCAGAATTGGGTTGTGGCATATTTGTTTACTAATTTTATGATCCAGAAATATAATATAGATTTATTTTTCCTTTTTTCTATGGTTCATAAGAACTACGCAGCTATACATTTAGATAAGCAGGCCTAGCAAGTACTGTATCTCTTTTCGGTGCGCGAGATATCAGTATCATGTTTTCGTGCTATTTTTTAATAAATTTAATTTAGTTTTAGTGTTAATAAAGATTTAATGTCAAAAATTTATTTAATTTTAATTAGGTGGAATCAGCAAATATATAAATCTGATAATCGTGGCTACATCATATTTTTTAACGTAAGGCCATTATTATCCTGATACAACAGGATAAAAATTATCTGTCAACACAAAAATAAAAATAGAACATTTTTTATTAAATTTTTAGTTTTTTTCATAGAATACTTACACTTATAGAATTATAATATCAAACGCGAGTATTATTTTACGTGACCTGGGTAAAATTATAATATTGAACTAATTCTGAAAACTGATTACATACTAATAAGAAGTATATAATTAGCAAAACAATATAGCATAAAAAATATTTTGATATCATATTTGGTATAGGAGATGTTTTTTCTCAATTTAAAGGGGTTATTGTTTCCCGAAAACTACTAAAGCAAAAAAATTATTCTTTCGTTCTATATAAAAAAATTATCAAAAATATATGCCATAAACCCGATTCTAATATATCTCATAGAAACAGAGATACAGGACCTGTCACTGTAGCTTAAGTATTAAGCTATCATAGCCAATGTTTCTTATGAACCACAAGAGCAAAAAATAAAGTGATCTAGTTGTAAAGCAAAAATTTGCCGAACATCTGATTCTAATATATCTATAGAAACATAAATACAGCTAGATGAAGTATCAAGGTAGCTGGCCAATGTTTCTCGATAACGACAAAAGCAAAAAAAATAAAATTTAAAAAAATATATATAGCATAAGCTTTGCCGTGCCAGCTTAATAAACATCATAAAATCTCATAATCCTAATGTTATTTGGACCTTAAGGATAACAATCTTGTCATTTTTTGGGTTTCGGGATTTATAGCCTTATAATTTAGTTTTTAGTAACGAAAAACTTGTATTTATGTAATGTAGTCCAGCCAACGAATGTTATGGTCGCATATCATAAATCACAAGTGAACTGGGCATTTGAATTGAACTCGTGGTGTCGGAGCATCTTGGAGAATAGGAATAAATAAGTCAATTTATAGTATTAAAAATAATTAAACGATCAAATGAACTTACCTGTGAAGTTCGATCATAATTATATGAGGAGCCTCGTTCGAAGAGATCACTAGATATGTTAAGTGAGTAGTACCGCTTCCGGTGCGACTTGCCCACGATTTTAAATAAAAATAGATTAAAAAAAAAGAAGAATTTATTTTTCCCTCTGTTGGTGTCACTGCTTGTACTTGTGTCACCCATGTGTCGCCCTATGTACGTCATTATTTTTAAAGTAACCCAGTCTCAAAAAATAAGGCATATCGTGCATATTATCGGGATATAAAAAATTGGAGGGCGGGAGTGATCTCTTCGAACGAGACGCCTCATATAATTACGATCGAACTTCACAGGTAAGTTCATTTGATCGTTTAATTATATTTCGGCGCCTCGTTCTCGAGATCACTAGATATGTTAACTGATTAGTTGTTTAAAGCAGGCCCTTCTTTTTTGGGACTCCTAGGAATTCCCATTGTAATAAGGGATTCATCCATTATGAGGTGCTGAAAACAGGGCGTCCAGACCAAAAATAAATATAAAAGCAAGCATTCTCTTCTCAAA